TTATTATTTAAATGAATAAATGTAATAAATTTAGGGATTCTTTATTGCTGTCTGTGGGATTCGTGTGGATTCGATGCAAAAGATTGGAAAATAATAGTGAGACACATAAATTATCATTCTTATCATACAAGAATTAAAGCCATCGGATCGAGTATCATGAAAGAATTGAATCTTCCTCAATGTACTTTAGATTATGCTGGAAGAAATTTACTTCCGGTTATGGCTATAGAATCGAAATGTGAATGGAACGATTGCACTCATGAATCAAATAATTTTCAAAATTTTTTAAATCACGTTCAATGTCACGTTCACGTATTGCCAATGAGAGGATCATCAAAATCTAAAAAAATTGTTTGCGAATGGAGAGGTAAACATTTACTTAAATTTATATATATATATTTTTTTTTTGTTAAATTAAATTAACTACGTTCATTTTTTTTTTTCTTTTTCAAGATTGTAATAAAATTTTCAACGATTGCCATAAGTTAAGAGAGCACGTCAGAACTCACACTCAAGAAAAATTAGTTGGCTGCCCTGTTTGTGGGACTCAGTTTTCTAATAAAACTAAATTTTACGATCACTGTAAAAGGCAGATGATAAACAATGGTAAGAAAACTTTATCATTTTTTTTTTTTTTTACTATTTTCCTATTTTCTAATGTATTTTATTTTTATATTTTTTTAGAAAAAAAATTTAAATGTTCTCACTGTAGGAAAAATTTTGCGACGGAAAGAACGTTAAGGGATCACATAAGACTTCATATAAATTTATTTAAATGTCCCATGTGTGACATGACTTGTCCTTTTCAAAGTACTTTAGCTCTGCATATAAGGTATCGTCACTTGGATCTAAAACCTTTTTTGTGTAATTTTTGCGAACACAGGTTAGTATATATACAGCATTTAATTGTTTTGTATTCAATAAATAAGAAAAAATTTAATGTTGATTGTGTTTGTTTTTTCTAGGTCGAAAACGCAAAGAGATTTAGAAAATCATCAATTAACTCACTGCTCGGAAAATTTTTGGGTGTGCGAGCAAGAGGATTGCGATTATAGTTGCAGAAGCAAAAGCGTATTAAAAGAACATTATGCCAAAAATCATTCAAAAAATGACATTTTTCTTTATCACTGTCACATATGTTCAAATAAATATAAAAGAGGATCTCATTTAACTGTTCACCTTAAAAAAGAACACAGTTATAGATGGGCTTCTGGACATTCAAGATTTAAGTTTGTATATGCATATTTATAATATTGTAAAAAAAAAAAAAGTTAAAAGATTTTATCAATTGAATTTATCATATTTACTATTATATTAGAAATTTTTTTAATTTTTAGTATATCCGCGGCGATGACGGGATTTATAGACTGCAAACAGTTAGGTATGAAAGTATAGAAGTAACCAAAGAAATGATGAAAATTAAAAATAGCAAATTGGAATCTTTACCTCGTAAAAAATATACATGCATATTTGAAACGCCCGTAAGTTTGATTGTTAAAGAAGATGAAGATAATAATAAATTGGAAACAACTTCACAACTTTCTAACACAAAAACAATAACAAATTTTACAAGATTTGATGAAGAAGTTAATGATTTTTGTAAATTTGAAAATAGTTTGAAAAATTGTTTAGAATTAACAGACAGCCCTGTTAGACAAATTAAAAACAACAAAGAAAAAAATTAATTTTTTTAATTAAAAATTTAATTATTTAATTTATGACTTAAACAAAAATATTGCATTTAAAACATTACTGAAATTACTTAAGACAGAATTATTGGGAGGTAACGTTATTTAACCGAATGAACAATTTTTTTTCATTTGGAATATATTTTGGGTGAAATTTAGTAATTGACAACAATTTAAAAAAAGACAAAAATTAAAATTTTTTAAAAATGTTAATTTATTTTTTTCTAAATGTATTACGTACTAATCATTATACCAATCAAGAAATAGTAAAGAAAATGACATAACAAGTAAAAAAAATAAGACCCAAACTCTAAGACCGGCATTTCTTTGAATGGCCTGCCTGATTTGGTCATTTGCATCTTTTACATTTTCAGTGGTACCAACTATCATTGTAGAAATTAAATCCATATCTTTATCTTGTTGCAAAACTTTTTCTGAAAAAATTTCTTGCAGCTCAGCTATTTTTGTTACTTTTCTTTCTATTTGTTGTACTTCATCTGTCAAATTACTAAGTTCATTAAAAAGTTCATTATTTTCCTGTTCAAAAATTTGAAGTTCCTCAGTTGATAGTTTATTTTCTTTGGAAAGTAATGAATTTGTTTCATTATTATAATCAATTTTTTCTAAATTTGAATTGGGGTCTGGTGATGTTATTTGGTTATCACCTTTTACTGATTTATTCAAATCAATTCTATTTAAGTTTTTTAATTGCAAAGAGTGTTGAACTCGAATTGCTCTCAGTTCAGAATAAAATTTAAAAATTTCTTTTAAATATTGTTCCATAAGTAAAACTACAGTCTTTTGGTGCTCAAAAACTTGAGTACCTGTTTTATTTTTTTCTAATATTTCTTGACCAAGTTCTTTAATTATACTGGAACACATATTAATAACTTTTTGAGCACCTGCATCAATTTTGTCTCTTTCTGAATCTGACATTTCTGGAAGTCCGAGTAAATGATTTGAAAAATTTAAATAAGATCTTTGATGTTCTGTAAGAAATTCAAAAAGCTTTGTGATTTGCTGAATAACTTCTTTTGTTTTAACAGTAAACTCTTGTTTAGGTGGTTTTTCATATAAGATCCTGTTTCGATCATTATCTGCTACATGACCGAAAGCTCGATTTTTAGTTTTGATGGTTTTTACATAAGCCTTAAAAAGAAAAGTCATATCCATTTTTCTGAAATAATAAAAAATTTAATATCATTTAGTTTAGATTTTTAATAAAAAGATAAAAATAATATATTAATTTATCTTTGAATTCTTTACTAGTAATATTTATTAATCTGAAAACTTCTACTTTACTAAAGTTTTATACAGTATAAAATAGGTTTAGTTTTTAAAAACTTGATTAAATTCCACAATTTAATGTTTTTGAATTTGACTATCTTTATCTTTATATTTATTTTGGGAATAATTTGTTTTGCTTGAACATTTAAATATGGAACTAAATAAGTTTCAAAAAATTAATTAAATAAGTGATAAATTGAAAAATATTAAATAATATTATATTAGGTAATAAAATAGTATTAAATATTACAATTAAATTAAATTACTTAACTACATATTTCATTTTTTGTGAAAACTAAGTCCTCAAAAAACAAACGAAATACTACATAAAACACGTATAAAAATATGTTAAACTTACCTTCACTTAATAAATTATCACAACACAAATAATTAGAATGTTAAACTGTATTTTACTTTTATATATTAATATTTATAACACTAAATTTTAAAATATTTGATGTTAAGTTTCAGAACGCCGCGTATATGGTTATTGTTTTCTTTAAAAATTTTATAAGTCTAGATTTACATACGTATTAAACGTAATATTGATGATAAAAAAAAAAACCAATTGAACAAATTAACGCGAACTTAATTAAAACTATTTTTTAGCCTCATAAACAAAATTAACAAAAAAAAAAGACAGAGTTTTTAAAAGTAAAATAAACTTAAAGTTTTGTTACCTTGATTTGTAGATCTTAATAATCAATAAAACAATTAT